AGTTTAAAGAGATTTCTAGTGAAGAATGCTGGAAGGCAGCAATGAGTGCTGTACAGTAAAAATCTGACTAAAGCTAAGTGAATGTCCAGAACCATCCACTAAACCTAACAACCACTACTCTAAAATCGAGATTAACGGTAAACGAAGTAGAAAAGTGAGCTTATTTCTTAATTCTCAAGGAAATGAATGACAACAGTCACAAGAGAGGAAGGAAAATATCCTATAATTTATCTAGATGAATCAGATGTGATAAAAATAAATCAGTAATGGGTTAATCCCGTCACATTTTCACAGCATGCTTTTTGATGTATACTAAAACTAGTGACAACAGTGGCGCATCATCTTCATTTGCTGGGCCTCTCGCCCAGTTATGTTAGGCCTTGGCAAATTGTGTTGAACACAACAGAGAGCTACGTCCATAACACATCCAGAAAAGTTGTGACCAAATTAAATGAAACTACTAAGGAGTCAGTTCTAACTTAGATATCAATTGACAGTAGACTGGCACCACAGTGGTCCCCGTCTAGTGCCTTACTTCATACTGTATGTTCTGACCACACATATTCCCTGCCACAGTACCCACATATATATATGCATTCTCTTTGGCTTATTGTGAGAGTATTCAAAATCACAAACTAGGTTCTTAAAAAAAATGAAAGCATCACCATGGAATGAATCACTTCAGACATAGATAAGAAGAGACGAAGAATGACTCATGAGTAGATGGTGATTACTTCTCGGCCTCCGCCTCGCACCATAAGGACCTTCTCCAGGCCTTCTGTCAACACTTCCAAGAATTCCATATCTGTTCAGGAGTTAAGGAAATAAAACGAAAAAGAGCACTCACATGCACACACTACACATAAAAAGTTTTACCCAGGGAACATTACATTTTTAAGCATATCATTTGCTTCGGACAAGATTGTAACAATCTTCTGAAACGATTTTTACCTGCTCAAACGAGAAAAGACGCACAAGAAAATCATACAATTTTGTCCCAAGGCGTGATATGATTATGAATGTCATGTTTTATGGAACAAAACTGTTAAACCTACCCCCAATTTCAGTCAAATCATCCCACCACTCCTTGAAGTTGTATTGGCCCTTACCACCTGCTACCCTCCCACAGCACCCGCCCCCTAGCCCTCCCCTCCCTTTGATTCCCCCCCCCCCCCTTCCCTTCCCCTGTCCTCATCCACACACACTTTTTGTTTTCAAGGATACAGTTGGCCTCCTTGTCGATGGAGGTCTCTCTGGGCGGTCCTGGGAGGTTGATGATGACGAGCTGGGCCTCGTGGGACTTGTTGACGATCACCTCGTTGAGCTTGACGGCCGTGTGCATCCGCCTGACGTTGCCTTGGTCCCTGCGCAAACAGAATTCAATCAGCTTTCTGCGACAATCCAGCACTACCCGACCGAGCGACACGCGCGAAAATGCGGGCGGGGCTGCATTGATCACGGTCTAAGGTCGAGTCAAGTACGGCGGGTGTGACTAGGGTTGAAATTTTCCAAACTTTTCCGGGAAATTTCCGAAAAATTCCCGAAAATTTCCGGAAAACTTCTAAAGTCTGGGAAATTTTCCATTTTCCCTGAAATTTTCAGTTTTTTCGGGAATTTTCTTGAAATTTTCCAGGGCTTTCAACCCTAGGTGTGACTGGCAACTACATTAGTCACGACAATTAGTCACTCCAACTCACTGTAAAAATAGTCAAACACACAGCAAAAACACAGCAGCAGCGCAGGGTGGGCAGCAGGAGCGCAGAGGGATAGGGGACACCTGCAGCAGGAGCCGCGCGGCCGGCAGCGGCATGCACAGCACCGCCGAGCAGGGGGCGCGCTGGGTCACTAGTTAGTTAGTGCCGGGGAGGGGGCGACGTCAGCGGCCAACACTCGCGGCCACGGCCACGGTACTCACGGCACGGTGGGCAGGGGGACGGTCAATCGAATTGGCCTGCCGCCAACCATGGGTATGGGCACTTTCAACGTGTTGTTGTTTGGGACTCTGAGGAACACACACCCATCTGCGTGAATCTATAGGTTTCGCGAGGTTGCTACTACTACTAACGAGCTAAAGACGACCCCCCCCCCCCATTCCCCTTTCTTTTTGACCCAAGTCTCATCGCGTCGTTTCTCAGTTTTCAGCAAACGGCTACAGGAATAGATTCTCACCACCAACGGACAAATAAAATTGATAGCATCGGGTACTTACAGAGAAAGTGGAACACGTTTTGGCGGCGCAGAACCGTCCTTGGTATCCTTGCTAGGTTTGTCTCCTCTGGAGTCGTCTCCCTCATCCTGAAACAGCGTGAAAACACCCAAGGTAATGCGACTTCCCTCCCAGTACACTTCTCGAGCGGGAACCTCTGCAAATAAAAGTGTGCAAAATCCATCCACTAAAAATTACGAAAAAAAATAATTAAAACGTATAACGTGGAGACTTGCCTCTTTTTTTTCGAGCGGTACACAATTGTCAT